CCTTGGGGGCCACTGCTCAAACGGCCAGCTTTTCCCAACAGCCTTCAGGCCCTTAATGACGGCATTACTCTCTCCTCCCTCTGGCCATCACAGCCTGCCCCAGGAAAGGGCCTATGACAGTCAGAGGTACCTGTGTGTGAAGAGATGCCACTGCCCTGAAGGTCATGCAGACTTGAAGCCAAAGGGAGTGTGGCATGGAGGAGAGAAGGTGGGCTTGCATGACATAGGGGCCCAGTGAAAAAACTGGACTCCACCACATACTACCTGTGACATTCATTCGCTCACTCACTCCATGAGCCAACTCACCTTTACTGAGCACCCACCTCGTGAAGCACTGGGACTCAAGGGGAGCAGAAAGAGACATGAGAGTTGCCCTCATGAAGCAGGGGAGACAGATATGAATCAGCGAGAAACGCAGAATTACATAAAGAAAAGAGAGAGATACATATAAGCATTGTATTCAACATGGAATATTCAACCTGGTCAGGGCATCAGGAAGGCTTCGGGAGGAAGCCATGAGTTGATATTGAGGAGTTACCTGGTCTGGAGGAATATTCCAGGCAGAGGGAACAGCAGGAGCAAGGGCCTCGCAGAGGGAAGAAGCAAAGGGCCTGGAGCAGAAGCAAGCCGATGGGTTGGGAGCCCAGCTCCATGTTAGGGAAGGCGGGCAGGGCCTATACTCTCCTACATCTCAGCTGCCATGTTTATAAGAGAGGATAACCATCCCACTTAATTCACAGGCTCGTCTTCAAGGTTAAATGAGAGAACGAAGGTGAAGACCCAACGTGCGCCTGACACAGTGGTGGACCTTGATGAATCGTGAGCTGCTGACGGATGCCGGCCCTCAGAAAGTCCTCCTGTGACAGGTGGAGGGGGATGGAAGGAGGCCCTGGGGTCTTGCAAGGCAAGATCTCTGGGGCTTTCCCCACTGAGCAGAGCCCCACAAGCTGCCAGGCAACCTTCTCATCTAAATGCAGGATTTCACAAGGATGCTATGCCAACATTATTGTAAAAATAAAAATGGGAAACAACTCAATGTCCATCAATAGAAGCCTAGTTAAATAAATTATAGTATTGTCAGTTCAAGGGAATATGACACAGTGCTTAAAAAGGATGATGCAGCTTCGTATGTAAATAAAATAAAAAGATTTCTAAAGTACTGAAGTGGGGGGAGGGGAAGTAATACACAGAACAGCGGCCATAGCAGGCCACCAGATATTAAAGCATGTGGGTGTCTGGAAAGACAAACCCAAGACTGGTCACTGTTATTGCCTCCGGGTCAGGAAACTAGAGGACAGGGATAGGGGGAGGTTTATTTTTCACTGAGTACCCTTTTATACTACCTAACTGTTTAGTATGGGTGTAATGACTTTTGTCAAGAGTCCAAAATTTTCTAAGTTTCCACTGTTTAAATAAAAACTCAGTCTTTTAAGGCAGACAGACCCAGATCTGCCACTTCCCATTGTGTGACATTGGCCGAGTTACCTCATTTCTGAGTTTCCGCTTCTGCAAAGTGGGATAATAGTAATAATTACTGCTAGGGTCGGTGAAGAGTAAATAAAATACTAATATTTTGAAGGTATTTAGTTTTTTTGCAGGTATCAATTACTTAATAAATGTTAACTATTAAAATTGGAATTACTGATTTGTACTGGTTGGATTGTTTTATCATTCACAAGTAGAACAATGCACTGAAGTTGCTCTCTGGAAACGCACCTGCAGTGGCAGGTTCATTTCTTTCACAGGGACTCCCTACAGGGTCCAAACTGAACCTGCAGGGCGATATGCAGATTCCAACAGGCTCAAGAAAGTCATCATCCAAATGCAGTATGTGCACTTCATGAGGACTCTGATGAGAGTAAATAAATTGAAAAAAACTTTGAGAGAACTGCAGAAAATGGAACACTGATTGGACATTTGATAATATTAAGGAATCACCATTAATTTTTTAGACATGATAATGGTACTGAAAGTAAGTATCTTTTAGTGATAAATATTAAAATATTTATGAATAAAATATCATGGCTTGCACATGCATCCAAATAATTTGTACTGGGAAGTGACTGAAATGAGTATGAATGAACCAAGAATGGGTGTCAGTTGATAGAACTGTTACAAATCAGTAAGGAAACACAATCCAATAGAAAAACGTGAGCCGGCTGGGGTGGCTCAGTTGGTTGAGCTTCGTCCTGTGCACTGAAAGGCTGCTGGTTTGATTCCCAGTCAAGGCACATACGTGGGTTGAGGGTTCAATCTCCAGTTGGGGCACGTACGCAGGATAATCGATGGATGTTTCTCTCTCTCTAAAAAGTCTTCAGGGTGAGGTTGAAAAGAAGAAGAAAACGGACAAAAGGCCGTGAGAAACAAGCCGCAGAAGTGGAAGCCCAAAGGGGCAACGAGCCAGTGAGATGAGCCACCCACCGGTGAGCAGAGAAATGCACCTCAGGGTGTTAGCAGGGATGTACACTTGTTGAAAGGCGCTCTTGCACACTGACAGAAGAATCACGAATAGGTATCTTTGCTTTACAACATGTCAGTGATATTCAACCAGCGTGCCACAAGAATTTTTAACACATGCAATACCTGACTATTTAGTCAGAGGCACTGACCTCTTTCCCCTTAGATTGTCAAATAAAAAATGACAACAGCCAACACAACAATAGCTATATGATGTGAATGAATCAAAATTATACCTATTTCTTGGTCAGATTGGCAAAAAAATGTATTTGTGTGTGTGCCGTAGAATTTTAATAATTAGCTAAAGTATGCCGTAAGATGAAAAAGGTTGAAAATAGCTGCAATGTGGCAAAACTCTTAAGATACCGCGCCCTACACCTCAGCAATTTCACACTCAGACTTAGACACTGACATTAAGAAAACACTTGTGTAATGGATGTAGGAAGTGATAATAAATGGCTAATAAGATAAAAAAAAAAAAAAAAAAGGGACAAGTAGACATTGTGCATTCCCTGATAGAAAACATCACCCCAATAAAAATTTATGTTTTCAGCAAAATTAAACCTGAATCCAAGACTCTAGATTCAAAAGCCAATTTAAAGAAATACAGTTAACAGAGGAGCATGTCAAATAGCACTGATTAGAGCTGCAATCAGCAAATTTCAAGTGGTGAAATGACCCAGGGTCTTCAATAAATAACTGCAAAAAAAAAAGAGAGAGATGAAAAAGGGCCCCCTATAGAATGAAAGGAAATAGAAGAGAGTAGTTAAATTCATAGAGACAGCAAGTAGAATGATGATTTCCAGGGCTAGGGGAGAGAGGAATAGGGGTGAACGTTTAATGAGCACAGAGTTTCAGTTGCGGATGATAAAGTTCAGGAGATGGATGGTGGTGATGGTTACACATTGTGAATGGACTTCATGCCACAGAACTATATTTAGAAAATGCTAAAATGGTAAATTTTATGTTATGTTTATTTTACTACAATTTAAAACAGTTTTTTTAAAAAAAAGAAACATAAGAGACATGACCAACATAACACTTGGACCTCATGTGGATCCTGATTCAAAAAACTATTAAAAAGTATAAAATGAGCCCTGGCTAATATGACTCAGTTGGTTAAGCACTGTCCATGCACCAAAAGGTTTCTAGTTCGATTCCTGGTCAGGGCACATGCCTGGGTTTCCAGCTCATTCCTCCGGTAGGGGGCATGTAGGAGGCAGCCAATTGATATTTTGCTCTCACATGGATGTTTCTCTCCCTTTCTTTCCTCTCTCTAAAAATCAATATAAAAATCTTTAAAAAATAAATATGAGACAATAAGAAATTTGAACACTGATATTTGATGGAATAAAGGAGTTACTGGAAATGGAGGGATGACAACAATATCATACTTATATTTTCATATATATATACATATACACACACATACATACATGTATACTGAGACATCTACAGATGAAATAACGCCCAGTATTTGATTCAAAATAATACAGAAGAAGAAAGTGGGTATGGATAACTTCAAAAAGATTGATAAGGATTAATAATTCAACTTGACAGTGGATACGTAAGATGCATTATACTAACCTACCTACCTCTGGGCATTTAACATTTGACAAAACAAAAAAGTTTTTAAATGAAAAGGAAACTATTATAAATGTGTTCAAAAGGAAAAGGTGCTCTCAGCATCATGGTCTGTAATAGCCAAATACTGGCAACAATCTTAATGGCAATGGACACATGCCTGGACTTAAAATACTGTGGTATTTCATTCACAGGGAACTAGAGTCAAGAAAGTGAATGAACCGGATCAGGAGTTCTCAGTAAGGGTGACTTTGTCCCCAGGAGGACATCTGGCAGTGTCTGGAGACATCTTTAGTTGCCATGTTGGGGTGGGGTGCTACTGGCCTCTAGTGGTGAGGTCAGCGATGCTGCTAAACATCCCACAACAAATAATTATACAGCCCAAACTATCAAGAGTACCACAGTTTAAAATCTCTATATTAGATCTATCTCTATTTTACATCTATATGGGATAGTCCTCAAACCATAGTGTTTAATTAAAAACAAACAAAAACAAGAGGCAAAGAGATATGTACAAATAATACCATGTAGGTAAAAATTACACAAAACCATGACTGTTTATTGCTCATAGGAATTTATCTACATAGTAAAGTATAAAAATATGGAGGGAAAGGCTATATGCCAGCTTCAGAATATTGACAATGAGGGCAGGGGAATAAAATGTTGCAAAGGGGGCTCCAATAGAATATGTAGCATTTATTTTATTTATTCTATCCTTCCTACCTAAAAACACACACACACACACACACACACACACACAAATGTGGTTAAGGTTAATGTACATAAAACCTGGGTGGTAGGTACATGAATGCTTATTCTTTTAGTATCTGAACTTTTCCACACCCTTGACATTGCTAACAATGGACAGACTGAACAGTGGGGCTGTGGACGGAAGGGCTGGGAGGACAGAGACTGGGCACAACTGCAAGGCTGAGCTGTTCCTGTGTGGTAGCACTCACCGGCCCCCGGAGGTCTATGAGCTCCTGCCTCATCTGGGACACGAGGGCTTCCTTGGCCACCAGGGCCCTGTGCAGGCGCTCGTTGAACTCAATCAGCTCACCGTGCATCTCCGCCACCTGGAATACACAAGCACCAAACAGTGAGGCTCAGAAGGAAGACCCTCCCTGAGGACTTTTCTCGCCTCCTCTGGACCACTTGTCGGCAAGGCACCTGGAAGTCACTGAGCTGGAGACATAATACTGCTCACCTACGAGCCACACAAATCCACCTGTGAGTTGAACACATTTTTTTTACTTGGTTGATTTTAACACTATGGAATCAATAGCCCACAGTTTATAATCAGAACACAACTGTATCAGGGAATTTTTGTGCCTTAGGATTTTATTCTTAATTAATGAAACTTCTAGCAAAAGTTTTCTTTCTAATCTGCATTGTGTCTGTCAGGAATTTCCCTGCTAGTGGAACAAGTAGAATAACTGACCATTTCTGTTCATCAGGGCCTTAGTTCTGAAAACCAAGGGAATAGAACTAGAGCCTTACTGAGATGGTGACAGTGATGGTGACAGACACAACTGTAGCAGCACAACTACCCTTTGGTCACTGCTCATTCCATGCCAGGAAATATGTCCTGGGCACTCCTTGTGTCTTCATCACACCAACTCTATGAGGCAGATATTGTTATCCCTGCCTTACAGGAAGAGAAACATGTAGTTTAAGGCGCTAGGTCAAGGTCATGTAGCTAATAAGGGACTGACTCGGGAGCCCGGGCTCTTGACCACTGGGCCACCTGACACAACCACACCCACTCCACTTTGCCCAGATGTAACCAATCAGGCCTGCTGTGAGCCCTCAAACTTTTCCACATTCATGCAATACTCTTGGCTGATCCCAAATTTATTTATTTTTAATATATCTTTATTGATTTCAAAGAGAGGAATGGAGAGGGAGAGAGAGAGATAGAAACATCAATGATGAGAGAGTCATCATTGATCGGCTACCTCCTGCATGCCTCCAATTGGGGATCGAGCCAGCAACCCAGGCATGTGCCCTAACCGGGAATCAAACTGAGATCTCCTGGATCATAGGTCGATGCTCAACCGCTGAGCCACGCCCGGCTGGGCTTGACCCCAAATTTTTTTTTAAATGGAGGTAGCCACAGGTAATCTGTGATTGATGTACCGAACGAACAACAGATCTTTCCAGCTGTAACTTGCAAAAAGCACAAAGATGTCCCATATGGTCGAGGCACTTACGATATAATATATAACGCATAAATATCAGACATTTGCAACAAGTACTTTACATAGCATATAAAACGCACTGTCAGAATTAAGAAGGGATATTAGCAGAGGCTTTTAAAAAAAAAAAAAAAAAAAAAGACTTAACCTGAGTCTTGATGCCTCGGGAGGAATAAAGGGGAGGCCTCTTTTTTTGGATAGGTTGTTATATAAAGGAGAAAAGGTAAAAAAGGAAATACACCAGAACAGTAACTTTTGTTCAAGCCCATTCTTTCTACTTCTCCTTACTTTTTATTTTCCTAATAAGGCACATGCTTTCATTTATCAGCCAGAATAACCACTTAGACTCTTTTTAAAAAGAATTAAAACTCTTCCCATGAAACTGAAGGGAGCCATGGAGCAACCAATGTGAAATGTATGAGGCTCCCAGTTGTGATCCTGAAGCTCCTATTAACTTGCTCTGAGGCCTCACTCTGGGAATGGCACCCTCTGTCCCTCAGGGCCCACTCTTTCAAACCCATGTGAAATGCAAAGTGGAAGTGGCATAAAAGACACTGCAAAAACCATGCAGTGAACAGAGGAGAATGAGACCCTGAGCCTGTAAACAGCTTTCTTCATCATACAGACCTAAGATTAATATTCTCCAGTTGCCTTATTCCTTCTGTATAAAAACAGCTGAAGATGATCTTCTTTTGGCCTTTCACAAATAAATACAGTATCACTGATCCTTCCTGTGTGGATTCTCCACACGGTAAGCACATAAACCCTCCATGAGCTTCCTCGGGGCTGAAATCCAGTTACCCCACTTAGTAAGAAACCCACAACTGGCCATATTACTGCCAAATACCTGCTAATATGTCCCCACAAAACTCAAGCTTTAAATAAACGCCACTCTCATTTCCAAGGCAGAGCAGGCTTTTGCTTAGATTTTGTTTTTATTTTGCTTTGCAGTGGGAGCCAGAGTGTTCAAACAATTTTCCATAAATGCATAAAACATCAAAACATCCCAGCCTCAAGTGGTGTTTATCATGATCTGTCAAAACCTTGGTTCTCTTTTGTAGCCAGAAAAGAGACTTGACCACGTCAGAGAAAGCTTTCATTCCACTAGGGAATAGGCAGGGGGGAAATCTGATGGCAATGAGGAGACAAAATTTGATGAAATAATTTCCAGCAGCCATTAAAACCACAATGCTTGTTGTTATTAAGCTCAGCTCTGAAATTCTGAATTTTTATATTATATATTCCCTACATATAGCCATTGATATAAACAGCTGTCATCTTACACAAACATACTGAGCTTAATTGTCCTCAAATAACTCTTTCAAATTCTGGAATAACAAGAAATGAATTAAAAACCGAGTGAGCCTCAGAAGAGGAATCTGAGATCACAAATAGTTCCCGTTATCATAAAAATAAGGCAGGTTACACTGCTACTGCCAGCTTCAATTTCTATTAGGTTCTGAGGGCCCTTACAGGTCTCATCTGACCTCATTCCTTAATTCTCAACAGCTACAGAGAATCGCAGGGAACAGAACAGAGACCACAGGTGCCCTCCAATCCATTCTCCACCAAGCAGTGATCTTCCCAAACATAGGATATTGTCACCTGCTGTTTAAAACCTTCAATGCTTCCCCCTGTCCTAAGGATGGAATACGAATGCAAATGCCTACAAGATCCAGCACCAGCATCTCTAACCCTATCTCCTGCCTCCTCCCTGTCAGTGTCTCACTAACTTCCATTAGTCTTCTATGTTCTATAAACATACTGAGCTATAGGTCACCCATGAGACAAAGAGGAGAGAGACACACCCAGTGGAGGAAAGTTCAGGTGCCAAGACTCAGGGGCTGACAGAGAGGCAGCTGAGAGGGGTGGTTAAGGGCCCAGACTTTGGTGCAAGCAACCCTGTGCTTATCACAGCACAGTGTGCACTGGTACACGTCACTTACCCTCTAGCCTGAGGCTATTCACCTAAAAAGTGGGAATTAAATACCATCCCCACTCACTGGGCCACTGTGTGGAGGAAATGAGCTACTGCCCTTAGCAGGCCATGTGTGGTCCTGGCAAATGCCCAGTGAACAAGAGCTGGTTTTGCATGATGGATGGTCACATAAAGGGGCATGAAGGAGGAGGGCAGGGCTCCAGAAGCCAGAGGGAAAGGGGCCACAGGTGCTATACCAAGGAGCTTGGACAGCCGTGGAGAGACTCACTGTCCCCAAAGTGGAAATGTCACCAGCAGAATTGTTAGCCATATGCCAGGTGTTATTCTTGGTGCTGGGGGCAGAAAAGTCATGGGGTTCACATCCTAAAAGTCAAGTCATGAAGAGCTCAGGACAGAGGAAGACCTGGAAGGAAGACAGGGTGTTGGGAAGACCTCCCCCGAGAACACTGAAGAGTTGCTTCTTGAATCAGCCTTGGCACATGCCAGGCAGCCTCCCTGGCTGCTCTGCACCCTAAATCACTATGGGCTCTAGCACTGTCAATGCTCAGGGCCACTCTGAGAGTCTGCCGTATTTCTTTCTACCCTCAGCACTTTTATTTCCTTGAAAATTAATCTGAAGGCAGTTAAGGAGGAGGTGCCATTTGACAACGCTAACGACAGTGACAAATCAAAAGTAAATACCAACTGGAGATACACTAATCACAGCTGATGCAGCTTCAAACACAGGCCAAGGTGGGCCAAAGGGTTGAGCCCTGATTCTCTGAAAGGCCCATGGAGAACACCTGGCTGGTAGAAGACACAGCTCCTGAGTTGTGCTTGGAAAGTACACAGCTCATAATTAATGAGGTGTGAATGCTTATCCGTCACTATTTGGGTTTCCTCCTTTAGGCTGGTGAGAAGATGGTAGAAAAATTTAAGAAAAAGTCACAGGGCTGTTCGGCAACATCTATCAAACTTTTAAAATCCCTCATCTGTGACCTGGCCAGTCCTTGTTGGGAGTTATCCTGCCCCGGTATTTACACATGTGCTCAAAGCAGGAGTTTAGTTCCAAATGGCTGGAACCTACCCAAATGCCCAACCACTGGCACTGATGAAATATATCAGGTGCAGCTACTCTTGTCCAAGGCCTGGCCCCTGGCAGACATCACTAATCAACCACAGTGCTCCTTCCTCAGGAAGATGCCCAGGCAGCCACGGTGTGCTGGCTTATGCGATGATACCCATTTGGTATCCCTGGCATGAGGGATAGAGGGAAAGCATCATCAAGGAGGTGGCATTTGAGTTGGGCTTTGGAAGATGAGCCTTTGGAGCTTTGGAGACTGAGCAATCCATCCAGCTGGAGCATCAGGGAAGATGATCTCCAAAAATATGTGACTATGAAAAAGCTTTTAAGTCTGTGAAAATCTCAGAATTATCATAATTACCTGCCAAATCATGAAAGGTTTATAAATTTAAAAAAGAATGCCTTTGGCATTTCCTTTTATATCAGAATGTTCTATCTAATCACATTCAAGTAAATCATGCTTTGCCCTCCTTCAGCTCCCTAATTAGGCACTTCCAGATTAATTAGATCAAGGTACTCCCCACCCCCAAATTTTAACAGCCACCAAAGCTCTTTTTGGTCATATACCCAAACTCTCCCAGAACATAAACTTAGATGCCTTGAACTTGATCTAGCTTTGATAAAATGCACAGACTGGTTTTGGTCCCATTTACCTGGCTGTGGGAGGGATCTGGAACCTCCTCCTGGCATGAGAACACTGCACCTGCCTCGGTGAAGACAAAGACCTCACCATTGTCCATTTGCCTTAACATATGGTAGAGCACCAACTATGTGCCAGGCCTTCTCCAGGCATCACATCCATCAGCTCAGATGACCCTCGCTACCCTCCTGCCCACCTAAGGATGCGGCCCAGAGGCTGAGAGAGTCGGGAAGTGG